GAGTCCTGTCAAATGGTGACCCCCAAAAGCCACTGAGGTTAGGTTAGGGATCTTCCATCTTCTCATTGCCAATTCCAAAGCATTTCTCTCCACTATTGCCCAAGGCCCGTTTTCTTTAACCTCCTGGTATCTTCTGGTGACACTACTTCATTCATTAATGACTTTGACACCTGCTTTAATCTCTTCCTCTTCACTACTCCTATCTTTATTTTTAGTAACTTGAATACCCCCATGGACATGGCCTGTGAAGTCCTTCCACTTTGCTTGTAGGAATCATTGTACCTACCCAACCTTAGTCATTTCGTCTCATAGTCATTCTCTAAAACTTGTCATCGCCCATAATATTCCTAACTGAAATCTTGATATCAATATTCCTATTTTCTGACCAACGCCTCATTTTTTCAATGCATTTATTCTATTGAAAGCCCAATTTAATAGTTCTTTGATAGTCTTATTGTCCCTATATACCCTGTTCCTCACCTCCTGTGTCTCTCTTTCCCCTCCATGGTCCTCACCTGGCAAACTCACAGCTTTAGTTAATCCAGCACCATGAGCATGCCTGTAGCTAAACCTGGCTTGAGCAAAACCTGTGAGGTTTTTAGGTGAGTGACTTATTAAGATATTTATTTTTTATTCTATATCTCAGGCCATTAACAATCTTTAAAAAAAAATAGACTGGAGAGAGGATAAGGGAGAGGAACAGCTTCTGAAAAAAAAGCTCTGTTCACTTTGTACTTCTACCTGGTGCTTGCTTGGCTTCTCTGTCATGGCTAACTTACCTTCGCTCTGCTAGTCCGTTTGTTCTTCATGTTTCTTTGTTTAGTTTAGTTACGTGTCACTAGAGTGTAAATTCCGTGAAAGCAGGGATACAGGGATAGTTTTTGCTTTGTCACCACTGTATTTCTGAGCACCTAGAACAGTGCTTGGCACATAGGAGGCACTCAATAAATATTCATTTTTGTCACCAACCTTAGCTCAGGAAAGGAAATACCCATATCCATGTCCAGGGGCTCAGATAGAAACATCGGGGCGTACAGAGTAAATCCAAGAGCCTGAGGCTCAGCCAACAGCAGAATGTTGGTCTAAAGCATTAAAAAGCAATGGCAATGATCTAAAGACATGAGAAAGGATTTCTGTGAAGTTCCTGCAAAGGAATATGGGCCTTGCAAGGCCTGGGTTGTTTGCTTAGAGTTATAATGCCTAAAGAAGCAGACGTTTTGTTCATTTGCCCATGGTTCTTTACTCATTATTAGCCCAGAAATCATAATGATGAAAGGGGAGGACTTTGGAGACCGTCTTTCCTGACCGCTTCTGCTTTGCAGATGAAGAAATTGGGACCCTCGATGTTAAGGTTCTTGCCCTAGATTACCCTTTTACTTACAGAACAGAGGCAAGAACCCAGGTCTTCTTACTCTTGACTACTTTTTTCTTCAAGGTATCCTGCAAATGTCAAAATGTCTTTTTAAACAGCTTAATAGTGCAATGCTCAGCTACAGTTTTTGCAATGACTCTAGGTTCCAAAAGAAAATGTTATGTGCTGTTTATGAAAATTGGAACTTTAATTTAGCACACAAATTTTAAAAATCACCATAGGTTAAAAGGATATTTCCAAGTTATTATGTTTTGGGGGGGAAATGTCTATGCTCTAGTGAAATTGCAGAAAAATAGAGGAGCGGTGTCTCGGTTCCTAAGACCATCGAAAATATGTGTTTTCCGATGGTCTTAGGTGACCCCTGTGAAAGGTTGAGAACTGCTGGAATGGGCTGGCTTCCAAGAAAATCCCACTTAGGGCTACTGGAAGCAGCTGTGAATCATGGGCAGGAAGTGTGTTTTGATGCTTAGGGGCTCCTTTCATTTTCCTTCTATGCTCCATTCATTTTCCATTCACTTGCCTTCAGAGGCAAAGGGAATTCCCTTTTTGGGAGTTAGAGTCTTAAGCTCTCTCCTAAGAGTAAATCTGGGCAAGACAATCCCATACTATGTGCTCAGACCTCTCCCTGGTACTCCTGCAGCAGATTCTGAATGCTCAGCATAAGCTGTTCGAGCATTAAAACTACAAAAATGGCCCTGAAGATGGTATTGAGAAGCTTATAGTCATCAACTTGAGAAGTGAGTGCAGTCTCCTGGATCATCTGTCATATTCATAGTGTCAGAGTGAACTTAGAGCTCATGGGCTTCTCGGTCCTGTAAGTGAAAGCAGTAATGGAAGGTGCGTCTCTCCAACAAACATGGACACTGAGGCAACATAGCGTAGTGTACCAAGTAGCGAGCTGGGAGTGAGAAGCGCTGGCTTTAAGACTCAGTTCACTGTCCATGTAATCTTGCTCAACTAAACTCGGAACCTCAGTTTCCTGAGCAACACTGTGAAGATAAAAACAGGCCCCTCATAGCTTTCACAGGGTTGCTGTGAGGCTCACTCACTTCAGAAAACTCTTTAGGTAAAAAGTTACATAAATGGGAAGTGTTATTAATAACTGAAAGAAATGTCTTGAATTATTGCCTCAGTAATTATCTACTGGTGTGATAGCACACAGCAGTTCAGAAAGTATGTGCTTTTTTTATTTCATATCACTTCACAGGCACGTGAGGCAGACAGAGCATCAGATCAGGCAATATGTAAAAATAGGCAGCACTTGTTAAAGAGTTAAAAATCTGTTGAGAGAGTAAAGCCCATGCTGGAGATAGTAAATAATGGAGCAATTTCAAGGCAAAGTATTTTTTAAGAAGGCCAGAGATGGGGATTAGCAGAGAGGAAGAGAAAGTCATTCCACACAGGAGAAATGGAATACAAAAGGACACCTTTGTCCGTATGAAATCCTGAACTTAAGTATATGGGATAGTCAAAGCATAAGTGACTAAATTCTGAATTCTGTTACATAAATAGGTTATCTATATTTCAGTCTTGTATTATGAATAAATTAGATATTCATATCTTTTATGTTATGGACAAAAATGTTGAAGTGAACAATTTTAAAGACAAAACCTAGTAACATTCTATCCAGGCAGATTAGTCCTAATCTGTTAACCTTACACTTGTACCTCTATTCACACATTCATTCCACAAATTTTAATGAATGCCTTATTTGGGGTAGATGCTAAAATGAGAAAATGAAACTACCTGCGTTTGTAAGTTAGGAAGGGTAGATGTGTTAACATCCAGTATGCACTAGTGTAAGGAGGCCACAGAAGAGAGCACAATGAACTTGACCTGGGAGAAGCAGGTAGACCCTCAAATGGCATCCAACTCAAAGATATAATGAGGGATTTTATCAGATATTTTGCTGAAACTGCTGTGAACAAATTCAATAGATTAGGCATTGCTCCAATGTTCCAAACCTGGAATCATATCCAAACTCAGAACTGAAGTTATTTACCATGACTTGGTCTGTGGGATCCCATTTTGGATCTTACTGGTCAATTGTCTTTGTACCTCAGAGAAATGCATTAAAACTCTATAATCATCTTTAAATCTCTTCTAACGTTAAACAGTCAACATAAACGGTTCTGATCATCTTCTCCTATAACACCAACATTGTAAAGGACCTCTAGTCGCTTACCTGAAGCGACTTTTCTGATCATGGGATACGTGGTAGGTGAAGTCACGTTTACATATCATCCCAGCCCTAGAATAACTTCTCTCACTTCTTTTTCTCTCCTTGTCTTTCAGTGGGAGCCTCATCAGTATCCAAGAGGAGGTCCAGAAGCCTCTCTAGCCATGGAGAGATAGGTGTAGATTCCAAATGTCAGTTGTGGCCTTTGTCACAAAGCACAGCGCTGCTTATTGTAAGCATCCCCATTAGTCTGTGAGGTTAGAGATTGTCTTGCAGAATCCAACATTTTTCTAATGCAGTATTTACATATTATTGATAGAGTTTTGTAAGTTTCTTTTCCAAATTTTGATTTATAATGTTTATTATTGAAAACGTTTTTGTATCCACTGAGTGCAAAACTATGCATTAGATATTAGGAGGGCAGAGGTAGATAAGAGGATGAACAAGAACTGGTCCCAGCCATGAAAGGAACTGATGGTCCTACAGGGAAGGTTGGCCTGCACGTGAATAATACAAGGAAGTGGCTGTTCCGGTTTCGTTTATGATGGGCAAGCATTTTGCAAAGACTTTAGCTATGTGTATACAAAACTAAAACAGTCATTCTAAGGCAGCTTTAAAAATGTCATTTCACAGGCGAGGGGGGAGCATAAAATTGTTTTTCATCACCTCCCATGTGACAAAAACATTATTTTTCATGTTTTAACTATGTTTGTAAAACCTCACAGTGCAAGAGATCTTCAATTTCAGATGAATTCCATACATTTACATTTAAGTCTGCAAAAGGCTTCCAGTTACCCAGCAGTTGAACCAAAGTGTTGGTAACTTTTCTGAAATTAAAGAGAAAAATGATTTCTCTTGTTTGGGTAGCATTCCTTTACTTTCTACTCATGAAAATCATTTCAGAAAGTTGATGTTTATTGTCAAAGGAACTATTTTATAAATAAAAAATATAAAACTAAGAAGTTATGCTGTCTCCCTTTAAAAAAATAACTCATCAAAAGATAGGACCTTTTTCTTTTTGTTACAAGAGAAACTTTAGTCTCTATTTTAGAATTGCAAATATATCTTCTTCATGGAGCAAAATCAGTTCACATGACACAGTGGTTATTTAGCTACTTCAAAAACTAGAGTATAATTTACTCTCTCTGTCTCTCTGTCTCTCTCTGTCTCTGTGTCTATCTCCCCCCACTAGATTCAGAAAGTCTTCTTTTGCAATGAGCATTACCTTATGTCTTTCTTGCAAAGATATCCTTTTGAAGTGAAAACTCAGGAAAAGCTTTAATTTTATAGCCTTGGAAGTTTCATTTTTCTGAGGCAGACAGAGTAGTTTCAAGACTGAGAGCAGCTGAAGGGGTTAAAGCTGGACTTGGCTCCGTGTTGGTTCAACTTTTTTTCTGGCTCTGCTCGGGTTTCCCCTTGAAGGGATTTCCCTCCGCCTCTGCAGCAAGACCCTTTATAAAGAGCAGACTTTCTATTTCACTCCTCACTGAGCCTCACTGGCTTTAGGAACTAAAGACTCTTCCCAGACACTTTCAGGTGGGAAAGAAAGAAGCGTTTTAGAAGCATCATTTTCTCATCACAGCAACAACTTAAAATGCCTAGGAAGATGGTCGTGATCTTTGGAGCCTCGAATATACTGTGGATGGTGTTTGCAGTTTGTAAGTTCTCCTTGATCTATTCTAAATGCTTGCATTCTATTTTAGCCCCAATTTTGGCTTCAGTCGATTTTGCTATGGTAGTGAAGAGAAGCACTAGGATTTTTAAACAGTGGGAAAACTTGATTTAACTTAACTTTTAATGCACTTTTTTGTAATGCTATATACCATTATGTTGTCATAGTTGGAGCTGCAAATTGATAAGTTTTTTGGATACTTTTTCCCCAATGTCATCTGAGTAATTGGGTTCTGTCTCTAGTAAGGTCTTTTTCTGTAGTTTCCTGTCCTTAGCAAATAACAAAACAAATTTGATAAATGGGCCTCAAGGTCAGAAGGGAGAGTGCTCTAACTGAAGATAATTTCATCACCTTGTTTGGCAGTGACTCTAATGCTTTTCAGCTGCTTTACAGTTAGTTTGAAGCAGTTTAGTAAAGAGATCGGCCAGATCGTGTTTTGGACATTCTACTAGAACAGAGAAGAGTAGAATATTAAACGAAGTGTAAGTTTCCTCTTTTCTTTTTGCCTTTACAGCTCAAGCTTTTAAAATTGAGGTCTTCCCTGAGTCCGAAATTGTTGCTCAGATTGGTGCCTCCGTTTCACTGGTTTGCAGCACAACAGGCTGTGAGTCCCCATCTTTTTCCTGGAGAACCCAGATAGACAGTCCGCTGAATGCGAAGGTGAGAAATGAGGGGACCAAGTCCACACTGATCATGGATCCTGTCAGTTTCGGGAATGAGCATTCTTACCTGTGCACGGCAACTTGCGAATCCCAGAAAGCAGAAAACGGAGTCAAGGTGCACATCTACTGTGAGTACTTTAAAAAAATCTTTGCTTTTTCTCTCATTTACTCTAAAATAAGTTTTTTATATGATATTTTTAAAAGAAAAAAATGTCCATGTCTAGATTCTTGGCTAGAGGACATACTGCACCAAGAAAGTTAGAGACAGCTGAGTCTAGCACTAGATCAGGAACCCAAATCTTGGCTTTTATTTCCAATTCTGCCACAGACATGATTACCATGGGTAAGACTCAACTGCTCTGGGCTTTGGTATCCTTAGCCATAAAATGAAGATCTCTAAGGTTTATTTTATTTTTCAAAAAATTCTATTTGATTATATCCTTACATGTTTACTTGGCCATGCATCTAAATTATTTATGAATTCTATCTTCAGGGATTTTTCATTTATTTATTCTTATATAATTTGGTGCTTAGATTCCGTTTAAGCAGGAGGTGTATAATTTAGCAATTGGCTTCTATACAAAAGTTTTCTTAAACATAAGAAAAATGTCTGCATACATTTCATTCATTTGATTTTGGAATAGATCAATCTAAGAGTTCCTTTTTGTTGTTATTTTTTGGTGTCATTAAGCCTTAATGTTCAACCACTCACCCTCCAGGGTATTTGTGTAATGAATTAGATTTGCTTTGTGACTGTGAATGAATACCCCTAGTCTACCATTATACCAAAATACATCCCAATCTATTCTCAATCCAGCAAATAAAGTTAGCAAGAGGAGTAAAAGACTAACCTGAGAAAAATCACTTGCCTTTGCTTACTGATGACTGCTCTGAGAGAGAGAGAGAGAGAGAGAGAGAGAGAGAGAAAGAAAGAAAGAAAGAAAGAAAGAAAGAAAGAAAGAAAGACCAAAAAGCTGAAAGGCTTTATGGTCATCTCTTCATGAAGACCTCCTTTGACTATCTTATAATGATGTTGTTTCCTTTCTGCAATAGTGGAGCTCAACTTTGCACGGTTACTCAGATTGATTCTTCAACGAAATCCATGTGTTCCTAATGTTTCCCAAGAAACTGTGTCTGGCTGGCTGCTTTTAATTATGCTGCTTCTACATGCACAGTGTATGTCTGTGCAGCCTCCTGAGCTTGAAAGGCCCCCTTATGTAAATACAGGGGAAAGTAGCAAGTTCTTAAATTACCTGACAGCAAACTGTGGATTCCAGGCACATTTCTTACAGAATATAAAGGACAGACATGATTGGTGGAAAAATTAAAAAGACTGGGTTTTTTTCATGTAACAAAACATTTCCAGTTCCTTTGCCTTCGCTCGCAAATACCAAATAATTGAAGATTTTAAAAAGAGAAACGAAAGCCCTCTGGCTTTAATTATCTTGCCTGAAGTTTTTCTTTAAATATCTCTGTCTCTCATTATGTTTAGTAGCCCTGTCTTCATTCTACATTTGATTGTAATATTCTTTAGAGTGGGGACCTTCTTCTTACTACCCAGTCTTGAATCCAGTCTATGTGTTACTTTCATGAAGGTTTGTAATGAAAAGGCAGTCCTTTTCTCAAGGAGGCAATGGTGGACTGAAGTAGTGTGTTCCCTTGGCACCAAAAGGCTCAAGTATCGTAGTAGTGGTTAGGGCACTGAGTTAGGTGTTTCAGGATGCAAATCTGCCTTCCAGAATTTAAAGATTTCACAGGTGTATATTTCTGGTGGATCAATTCCTGTCAGAGAAACCATTTTTAGAAGCCAATTATTTAACATTGTTCTTTTCATTTCTTACCATATCTTGCCCAATAGCTATTCCTTACAATGATGCTTTGAGCCTTGGGTTCCTTATTTGTAAAATGGAAATATATCCTCCCTGACTAAAATAAGAGAATGTGATATAACATAATATAAATCTGCAGTAGAAATACAGAATATTAGAAATCCTGAGTTTAACTCCCAGATTTACCATTTATTGGCTGTGTAACTTTGGGTAAGTTATACAAATCTGCTAGGTCTATATTTTCATGTCCGTGAAATGTGGTCTCTATCTCTTAGAGTTATTGTGAGGATAAATAAAATCACTTATGTTAAAAAAAAAGGCACAGTGATGGGCACATATAAGTATTTAATGAACATTAATTTATTTTCCCTTCTTTTACCCCAATAACATGCAATCCTTAGTACATGCAGGATCAGAACTGAACTCACTAAAAGGTGATTGATTTTTCTGATTCATGTACCCACCCAAACCATAAAAGGCTAAACAATGAACCAAGTCTGCTTTAACAAAAACATTAGATTCGATTTGCATTACATTAAATCAGTGAGAGACCTTTTACAACATGCACAAAAAGCCCACTCATGTGTTTGTTTGACCTTTGCAGCGTTTCCCAAGGACCCAGAGATTAATTTGAGTGGCCCTCTGGAGATTGGAAAGCCAGTCACAGTCACGTGTTTGGTCTCTGATGTTTACCCATTTGACAGGCTGGAGATATATTTGTCAAAGGGCGACCATGTCTTGAAAATGGAGGACTTCATAGAGCCAATGGAGAAGAAGTCTCTGGAAACCAAGAGTTTGAAAGTAACCTTCACTCCTACCAATGAGGATACTGGAAAAGCTCTTGTTTGCCAAGCTAAATTATACATTACTGAAATTGATGATGAACCCCAAAAAAGGGAGACCACAAGAAAACTGCAAGTCAACAGTAAGTGTTTGTGTGATGTGGTCTTTAAGAGACTTTAGTTCTGGATGTATACAACAATACACTTAGCAGCTGAAGTCAAGAAAAACTGGTTTTACTCCATTTTTATTCATTAAGAACATAATATTTGTCAACAGCATAAGTCAATGAAAAGAGCACTGATTTGAGTTAAGAGTACTTGAGCTTAAGTTCTGGCTCCATTACCATATGAACTTGGGTCACTTAATTTCTTTATTCCCCCAGTCTATGAAAGGGAAATAAAAATACCACTTGATTGCATAATAGGAAATAGGCTCAAATGATACAACTTTTCATTATGTTTGTAAACTCTTATAATATGCTTTGAAATATCAAGGTAAAGCGATTTTACAAGGTGAGCACTTATTCTGTGTGTGTAAATGTGTTCACAGGTACACACGTGCATTGGGTGTGAGAGTGGAGATGAGGTTTGATTACCTTCACACTCCTGAGACTGCCAGGGACTTTGAGGCAGTCTTATAGCCCCAGAATTGTGTAGGAGTGGATTCACTGTGCTCTGTTCTAGGCTAAAATGCTATGTGCTACTCTGGACACCACATTGAGAAGGAATATTGCCAACTCTAGCATGTTTAGCTAAAAGAGAATGAGATGGAAATAATGTTATCAATATTTTGAAAAGAATAGTCAAGATGAGGGATATTTTTCCTAGAGAATATGAAGCGTGGAAAAGAGAGCTATAATTAAGTATTTGAAAAACAGTCATGTGGAAAGGAATTTAATTTATTCTGTAGCAGCAGAGGACTGAGCTATGACCAACGTGTAAAAGTTAGTTACCAAGAGGTAGATTTCAGCCCACTAGGGGGAAAATGTTCTAATAATTAGAGCTGTCTCAAATCAAATGGACTATTTTGTAAGGCAGTGGATTTCCTCACCCTGTAAGTGTCGAAGGTGACTTAAATTAACATTTGGCAAGGATGCCAAGATGATACTCCTATCTTATCTGGAAAATTGAACCAAATTAAGGGTCTTTCTTAATTTCTGAGTATCTATGGCCATCTGAAAACACCAATCATCAAAAAAAATAACTCAATCAAATTAGTCAGACACCGATTGACTAATTTTTATGTCTCCATGATTCTTTATTCTAATTTGACAGAGTAAGTTTGCCAAATTTGTGGAAGCACATAAATACAGTCTGAGAGAAATACATTATGATTGTTGAATAAAGATGATGCTTAGCAATTATTAATATTGTGCCCTGCCTTTCCAGCCTCACCCAAGAACACAGTTATCTCTGTGAACCCCTCCACAAGGCTGCAAGAAGGTGGCTCCGTGACAATGACATGTACCAGTGAAGGTCTACCAGCGCCACAGATTTCCTGGAGCAAGAAATTAGATAACGGGAGCCTACAGTACCTTTCTGGGAATGCAACTCTCACGTTGATTGCTATGAGAATGGAAGATTCTGGAATTTATGTGTGTGAAGGAGTTAATCTGTTTGGGAAAAATGGGAAAGAAGTGGAATTAATTGTTGAAGGTAAGTAGAATGTGAAAAAGGAATGATAAAGATGTTGTCCTTGGGATTTGAGCAATAGTGAAAGAGCTTCAATGCCAAAATTGCTCCCTTAGGTTTATTGATGACCCATCTGATTGTCATGTACTTCGGCACAATTATATATACATTCAACTTACTCATACTTTTAATATTTGAGTGCCTGCCACATAATAGATGCTCAGTAAATGTAGGATGAATAAAGTGTAAACATGGGCAACACAAATTTTAAAAATATGAAAACGGGACATTTAAACTTGTATGGTTAAAAAAATAAAATTCAAACTGAACTTCCGTAGATAAACTCTGTTGGATTAGCATTCTCAAGAGACCAAGAAAGATATTACATTAATAAAAGCATGTAAAGCTAATCATCCACCCTGGATAACCCCACCCCATACTAAGATGTACCCCATTTCAGAGAGAAGGAAATGCGTTATGGGAAATGCATTCTTGTTTTGCATTTTGTGTCACAGGATACTAACAACCTTAAGTACTGAAGAGAGAATTGAACTTTTAAAGAATTTTTCAGTTACCTAACATTTGCTCCCACAGGAGCCACAAATTCACTTCATAACATACTTAGCCACTGTAAAAAAAAAATGTTCTGAGAATTGTTCACAGGCAGGAAGTGGATGTGTTTTTAAAGTTCCCTGATCTCACGCTAACATATAAGGAATTCAGAAATTCTGACAATTTTTCTGATTGATCTGTCTCTTTCAAAATCTAATAGCACATGGGTTTATTCTGGTAGTTTGAGTAAAACCTTCTTTGGAAGATACTACAATGTCACAATTGGACAAACCAAACTGAGAAAAATAGCCTCTGGCACAGATCAGAACTCTGCACAATGTGGTATATTTGGATTATTCATATGTTGAGATTTCTTTCTTCCATCCCCAGCCTGCTGTTTACAAGGACAATCTGAGTGATTGTCTGTGGAGTCTCATCTGTCACTTTCAGAGTTGCCCACCCACTGCAGGTTTCTTCAGGGGAACAGAGTGGAGATCTGGAATTCCCTTTCTCCCTAGACAGCAGTCATCTCAAGGCAGCCTGTGTGCCCAGCAGGGATAATAGCACAGGCAGCCAAAGAGCTTTCCTGTAGATTTGAGACTTAGGAATTTGCCCTTCCATCTGCTTTCAGTTCTTGAATTAATTGTAAAGTGTTTTTATATTTCATCAAATTTTAGAGGTGGCTTATGTGTCACTTTAATGCTTAGACTTTGACTTTGCTTTCAATGTGATTGTGTGTGACTTTCAATGGTATAATTTTACATCATTAGTACAGAAGCTCTAAGCGCTGCTCTATTATGGGTATTGTGCCTAATTAGAAGACATATTTTGGCTTTGTCGCTTTTTTCAGTACCTCTCTTAGATCTTGTTTCATCTCCATGTGAGGATGACTTGATTTAGTCCTTCAAGCAACTGAAAAGCTGGAATCTTGAATCAGACCCACTTGGCTTCAAGTCTTCATTTTGCCACTTGCAAGCTAGATAAAGTTACTTAGCATTTCTAAGCCTAAATTTCCTCATGGAGGAGGAGAAAGACAAGGAAGAAAAGAATGAATAGTACCAGTTCACCGGCTGGCTGAGTGGTTCAGTTGGTTAAGAGTTAACTTAAGAATGCGAGCTCTGAGCAACAGGGCTGCCAGTTCGATTCCCACATGGGCCAATGACACTGCACCTGAGCTGAGCTGCCGCTGAGCTACCAATAGGTGGCAGGATGGCTCAGCTGGTGAGAGCACATACTCCTAACAACAAGACTGCCTGTTTGATGGTGGACTACACCCGCCCACAACTAAGATGGGACTCAGCACCTGGAGCTGAGCTGCCACCCAGATGGCTCAGTGGATAGAGCGTGCGCTCTTAACAACAAGGCTACTGGTTGACTCCCACATGGGATGGTGGTTATGCCCACCCGCAACTAAGATTGAACACATCGCCTTGAGCTTAGAGGCCCCAAGCTGCTGACAGGAAGTCAGATGGCGACTGGTGCCCTCCACAACTAAGATTGAAGAACAACAACTTGGCTGGTCCTCCTCCCCAATTCCCCAACACTGTTCCCCTCTCCCAATTCCCCAATTAAAAAAAAAATAGTACCGGTTCATGAAGTTGGGGTGAGGATTAAATGAGATAATACAGAGGGTGCCAAAAAAATGTATACACATTTTAAGAAAGGAAAACACTGTAATAAAATTGTAATACTCAATATATGCCTATAACAAAAGATGAATACAAGTCACATTCAACTTCTGCAATTACAAGAGGTGCTCAAAGTGGTTGTTATCATCATCATCCAGACACTTCTGATTACGGTGAACTACTGCTTGAGCAACGTTGACCAAAGTGTCCACTTGTATATATTTTTTTGGCACCCCCAGTATATGTAAAGTGGTTTCTACAATGTCTGACACACTGGAACCTCTTAATTTATTTGAGCTGCTGTCCACGATTACAGGGATTTGATAAACTTTATTTGAGCAGAGACTGAATTATTGTTATAAAAAGATGTCACCCTCTGTCTTGATAAATTTTTATCCACATTCATTCTGTTAAATGAATAAATCAACAGATTAGTCTTGAAAGATGTGATCTTATTCCTTTTGGTCCCCAGGTGAAAAGGAATCATTTTTTTCTTGGCACAGAAGTTAGCTTAAAGGAAATCAGAAAAAGAAGAAAAAGAAAAAAAACCATATATTGGAATGTGGTGAAAAAGAAAATAACCTTATCTTACCTTCTTTTTGTCTTGTTCTTTTTTCTCCCCAGAAAAACTGTTTACTGTTGAGATCTCCCCTGGACCCCAGATTGCTGCTCAGATTGGTGACTCAGTCGTGCTGACATGTGGTGTCACAGGCTGCAAGTCCCCATCTTTCGCTTGGAGAACCCAGACAGACAGCCCACTGAGCGGAAAGGTGAGGAATGAAGGGACCACATCCATGCTGATCCTGAGTCCTGTGAGTTTTGAGGACGAACATTCATACCTGTGCACCGTGACCTGTGGGCATAAGAAACAGGAAAAGAGAATTAGGGTGGACCTCTACTGTAAGTACTTT